TCAGAATTTGCTGCCTATTGAGATCAAGCAAGCACCTTTATTTACCTTTTCCAAAGCCAGCTAAAAGCATTCTTATTTAGATATGCCTACTCAGATGCTTAGAAAACTGAGGTAATTTTTTTCCTGTTTTAGTGTTTTAACTCTTGTATGTTTTAAAGCAGTATTATAATTTTTTTTCTGGGTGTTATTGTCTTATCTTTGAGGTTTTCTGCCATCAAGTCGTGTTTAAATTTTATTGAATAAATAATAAAGTGTGCTTTGGCCCATGAAACTTTATACCACACTAATTTCTTATACATGGATACTCAAGCTGAAATCATAGCCCAATTTACCTGAGTGTAACCTCCTGAAATTGAATAGGACTTACTTCTCATTAGACATGGTTAGAAATGTACTGTTGGATTGTAATTCTACATTAATCTATCAGCAAGCAAGACTCATTCAACTTTCTGAATAGATATGTATAGGACTGTACTGTGTTGGTATTAATTTCTAATGGTGACAGTGAGAAAAGTTAATTCTGATTTTGAAATGCTAAACTGTTGCCTTATAAGCCTCTTAAGATTTCAGTGATAAGTGGAGCCTGAGAATAGGGTTCTTGAGATTGTTATAAATGTTGCATGGTTTGTGGAAAAGGAGAGTTGAATTTAACATGAATAAAATGGTTCTGAATACACATAATTTTATTGAGCTGTTGCAAGCTTAAGGTAAAGGTAAAGGTACCCCTGCCCGTACGGGCCAGTTGTGTCCGACTCTAGGATTGTGCACCCATCTCACTTAAGAGGCCTGGGGCCAGTGCTCTCCGCAGACACTTCCGGGTCACGTGGCCAGCGTGACAAAGCTGCTCTGGCGAGCCTGCACCAGCGCAGCGCACGGAAACGCCGTTTACCTTCCCGCTAAAAAGCGATACCTATTTATCTACTTGCACTTAGGGGTGCTTTCGAACTGCTAGGTGGGCAGGAGTTGCAAGCTTAGTGCTATGCAAAAGACTCAAAGGAGGAGGAGGAATTCCCTATGGAGGACCAATATCTTTTCTGTCAATTGTGCATTAAAAAAAAAGCCCAGAAGACGGAGAGGGAGAAAGGGTCCTTACATCGGAAACTCAAACAGATTCTGTGATGGGTTTTCCTTGAAGAACGCTTCAAAGAAAATGTAAAAAATATGACCAACAATGCCACCAATCAGGAGGTGACCTGGCTGGTACCACTCCTGTGGAACAGCGATGGGATCATTTATAGGGCACTTCATGGTATCTACTTTGTGCACAACAGGAATAAAAAGAAATAACAACACCAATAACCACAACATCTGGCCAATCTGTTTCTGTAAATGCAGACTGTTTTGTGTCCAACAACAGCAGAATGCAGACTTGAAATGTACCGGTCCTACTTTTCCATAGAAGGATTAGAAATTCAGGCATTTAGTAATTGTGATGGCCCACCCTTTGATTCTGACAAAGCACATGAAAACAACTTGGAATTTCAGAAATGAAATTGACAGATCCCTGCCTGCCTCTTGCCTCTATTCCCAGCTCTCCGTGGCACAGGAGTTTTAAACCATTTTTGGATTTTCTTCTCATCTGTTCTCTTGTGCCTTCTGGAAAGCATGTGCAGCTTTTATTATGGGAACAAATTATAGATATTTGGATCATTGTAGGGAGAGATAATTACTTCTTCAGAGTTTTGGTCCTGAGTAGCACCTTTGGTAATGAACAGTTCTTTTCTCTGTCCCATTCCCAGATCTGACCATGAGTCTCCTCTGCTCCTCAGTGCCAGATGGTTTAGAGTTTTCCATTGTGAACAGCAGACGAGTGGAACAAGAGTTAAGTCATTGTCTTTGGACACATGAAACATCCCAGCTAAAAACTAATAATCAAAGCTATTATCAAACTCAAGTATTATCAAGGGAATTCACGCCTACAATTTCTCTGTGCAACACATTTTCAGCTAAAAAAACATCAGGTGTGGAATAAGGAAAAGGAGCAGTGATTCTTGATTTAATCTTAGTGCCAAGAATCTGGTGTGAAGTGGAGTATCTACTGTATTATTTATTTTGTTTCTAGCTTGCTCCTTTTATTTACTTAGCCATGCTGAAAAATCTTTGGTATAGGATGCCATATGAATAATTCAAATAAATGCTTTTTTGTAGAAATTACCATGAGGGTATCAATTTGATGTGTGTGGGAAATTGCCTGGAAATACGCATAAATTCATCATATTTAATTTCAAAATAAGGGAATAATGTGTCACCCCCCTTGCCTTCTCCACTACTCCTGCGACATCCTGACCTAGAGTTCAGCAGCATCACTGTAGCAAGAAGGGCAATGCTGCAATGGCAGCCAACCAGATATGCTACCACTTTGGCTCATAGTTCAAGGGACAAAAGAATAAAAGAAAATGTATAGGGGTAACCCTGTATTAAACCACTAGGCGACACCCACCCACACCCCAATGAATCAATAAGATGGCTGTAGATCAAGAAGTGACAGAGGTCTGTTCAACCTGGTGTGTCTCCATGCCAAGACAAAACTGTGGTGGGTTCTCATCCATGAGATGTTGTTTACATATCACACGGCTTTGACATGTATTCATATTTTCAGGATGTTAACATAATGCTTCAGTTAATTTTATGCTGGCTTGGTCATGCACATAGAATGGAAGGTGGCATGATCCCCAGGGATGTGCTATACAGTGATATAGCTGGTTATGAACGCTTCGGGTTATGAACTCCGCTAACCCGGAAGTAGCTGCTCCTGGTTGCGAACTTTGCCCCAGGATGTGAATGGAAATCGTGAACCAGAGGCACACACGCAGCGGGAGGCCCCATTACTGAAAGCGTGCCTCAGGATAAGAATGGTTTCAGCTTAAGAACAGGCCTCCGGAACGAACTAAGTTCGTAACCAGAGGTACCACTGTATGGGGAGCTGGCCTCAGGCACTGGGCCTGTTGGCAGACCAACCCTCTGTTACAAAGATGCCAGTAAAAGTGACATGAAAGCTGCCAATAAAAATGACATGAAACTTCCTTCATCTCTTAATCTTTTAATTCCTATTCTAATAATAGATTGTACATTTTAGATGATATCTTTTCTGGATTTTTTAATAACTCTATTTGTAATTTGGATTCTTCTTTGCCAAATATAGTGATCTTATCCTGCTTAAATAGGTTCTATCACAACAGAATTATCTCTATTGGCAAGTCACCAACAGAAGACATTCAGTTGGCCATGTTCTCTGCTCACCAGAAATGAGACTATTTCAGTCTTTTCATGTCATGTATTTCTCCACTCATTCTTGAAGACTCCATTATAGGTATATATTGCGTGGACAGGCGGAGTCCCCAGATCCCGCGCGATCCCCCCGTCATGTGGAATAACGACTCAAGACAACGTGCTATGGGATTAAATTGGCCACAACTTTATTAAATTTCAAATGTGGGTAGACCTTGGCTCAGGCATTGGGCGTTCTCCCTCCCCAGTCCCCAGCCGGGGACCTAGGGAGCATCAGGGTTATCCAGTGGGGGGGGGGATGGGCCGGCTCTGGAGAACATATGTTCAAGCAGAGATAGCCGCCCCCATTACGATGCCGCCGCAGGGGAGAGCAATGACAACCTTTCGGTGCACGGCCAAAGCCTCCCTTCAGAAACCCCTTTAATGGGGAACCCTGGTATCGCCGCCGCAAAGAGGAAGATGGACTAAAGGATTCCGCCCAAGGCCTGATACCGCCAAAGTTGTGACGTTTTGCTACGGGAAAGGCGAAACCTGCCAATGCAGGGAAATTCCTTTCCGGCCCTTTAACAGCAACCTTAACGTAGCAGCGCCCGCATACCTGTGAAGAAAAGTTAACCTGCAAAACCTGTGAAGAAAAGTTAACCTGCAAAATAAGACATTAACTGAGGGTGGGTAGGGTGGGAGAAGCTCTGGAGCCAAGTGAGGATTCCCAGGTAAGATCCTCCCTCTATTGTGTGGGCAGGTAATCCCTCCCCTACCTTGCCTGGTCTCCTTGGCAACGCTTCCCCCAGGTGGGATTGGACAACTGCCTGGGGTAGGCGGAGACCTCCAGGTATCCCACCTGAGGGAAGGCAAAGCCAAGCCTATGCTGATGGAGCCGCTCCAGATCCAGGGGCTGCACGCATCCACGCAAAGGGCGCCCCCTGTTTTAAGCGGGGAGCGGTCATTCTATTCAAGGACATATGGTCACTGATATTGAAAAATGATCGCTTTCCATTCATTCTAACACTTCAAAAGTGAGTAAAGAGGGAGAGACTATAATGTGGTCATTAGATCTTCCACCATTTTTGTTCAAATAAGTATAGTGACTCTTAGAAATGTTTACAGTTCTCCTGCCAAAGGTATATATTAGGCTGGAATACAAATTCCAGCGATTTCAGTCCCTGTGCATGATATTTCTTAGCCAAAGAACAATGTGAGGTTAGAAAAACATATTCCAAGTTCTAAACCTAAAGTTAGCAAAAAGCCTGTTACAGTCGCACCATGTAGGGCATTAAAATCCACGAATAGGCACTGTGGGGAATATATGACTGATTTGCTCCTGAAGAGTCATCAATATTAACAATATTAACTGTTTATTTCTCCTATTACATCCATTTTTGCACAAATGTTTCTGTGTGTGTGTGTGTGTGTGTGTGTGTGTGACATCTTCTGTACATTATTTGATTTGATGCAGCTTGTGTACCAATCGGCAAATTAATAGCTGCAAGAGCTGCATGGGGAAAAAATCAAGAAAGTCACGATTTGGAAAGAAAACTGTGTTCTGTTTTGTGTAATGTTTCAGGAAGCATGTTTTCTTAAAAATATTAAAATGTGAATTTAATTGAATTTGCTGCCCATCACTAGTTGCTTCCAAATGAATTTAGGGCATCAAATGAAACTAAGCAGGGACTCTCAACATTAAATATATAAAATGTGACAGTAGGCTCTTGCGTCCTAAGCCACTTGAGCTCTGCACATACAGGATACAATGGGATACACAGCAAAATCCTTCAATTCTTTCTCCTTATGAGTTGCTCCTTGCTATTCATCTGAGGCCTCAGCATTATGATGTAACATTTAGGGGCAAAGATGCAGCCCAATAAGCCAGCACTGGAGGACAGGATGGAGAAGATCTCCACAGCCATCATATATTTTCCACTTGTGCTCAGGTAGGCTGGGAAAAAAGACAGCCAAACACTGCAAAAGAGCAACATGCTGAAGGTAATAAACTTGGCTTCATTAAACGTATCTGGTAATTTGCGGGCTAAGAATGCCACAATGAAGCTGGCAATAGCCAAGAGGCCCAAGTAGCCCAGGACAGAGTAAAACATTGCAACGGAGCCTTCATTACATTGCACAATGATTTCCTCTGCTACAGAGTTCATGTCTAAATCAGGGAATGAGGGAGCAGTGGTCAGCCATACAGTACAAACACTTGCTTGGAAAACAGTGCAGGAAAGGACAATGGAGTTGCTCAGTTTTTTCCCCACCCACTTCCTCATGCTGGACCCTGGTTTGGTAGCCATGAAAGCTACAATCACTGTGATGGTTTTCGCAAGCACACAAGAAACAGCCATTGAGAAGACAATGCCAAATGTTGGTTGTCGGAGGAGGCAGGTCACTGTGTTAGGTCTTCCAAGAAACAGCAACGTAGAGAGGAAGCAGAGCAGGAGGGAGATGAGCAGCATGTACGTGAGGTCCCGGTTGTTGGCTTTGACTATGGGAGTATCTCTGTGCCAAATAAAAGTTCCCAACACCCAGGCTGAGATCAGGGAAAAGGAAACAGCAATCACGGCTAAACTAATCCCTAAAAGCTCTTGGTAAGATAGAAAGGTTATTGTCTTAGGGATGCAGTCACTTCTGTCTTTGCTTGCATGCTCTTGCTCTGGGCATCTGAAACAGTCATCAATATCTGAAAGAAACACGGAAATATATAGAACTGGATGATCAAATTGTTCTTAATTCCAAATGAGCTGATGGTCATATAACAATGCCACTCAACATCTATTCAATTCTTCTTTTGCTTCTAGTTGCTTAGTATATCTTGGGTTCCGTATTTTTCGCTCTATAAGACCCAACCAACCATAAGACGCACCTAGTTTTTAGAGGAGGAAAACAAGAAAAAAAATATATTCTGAATCAAATGTTGTTAAAGAGGCTATTTCTGAAGCCAGAACAGCAAGAGGGATTGCAGCAGGAGGAACGTTTCCGCTGCCTGAAGAGGCTTCGCACGGCTATCCCTGATCATGGGCTGTGCAGCCTGCATTCGCTCCATAAGATGCACACACATTTCCCTTTACTTTTTAGGAAGGAAAAAGTGTGTCATACAGCAAAAAATATGGTAATTAGATCATGCTCAGTGCGATGGAGGTCACTCCCTTATTACGATGCATTTGACTGCCGGAATTAACCCTGTACAATGGGGATACTGATGTACCTAATCACTTACCAATCTGGTTTGAAACCTTCCCTTTTGGACATGGAATACAATCATAGCAGCAAAATTGTTCTCCTTCCTTCGTTTTCTTCTGATAACCAGGCTGGCAGTGTTCATTACACAAAGAAAGGGGAGGCACCTGCAGTTAAACAGGAAAGGATGGCAAAGGGTGTTTTTATTTTATTTTTACATTGTGCAAGTGCTTATCTTCAAATTAAACAACAAACAACAACAACAACAACAACAACAACAACCATGAGCGGTCAATCAACCCAGTGTCTTTAGCTTGGGATTATCCCTTATAACCAATGCAGCCATAGATCCATTCAGGTCATTGTTCTCAATATTGATCAACAGCAATTACTTTGTTTTCAAGGAATGAGTGCTATCACAGATGCAAAGCAGAAATATGCAGTCAAAAGGAATTATTCACATCCAAATTATGCATCCATACAGACAGGGAAGCGATCCCCTCTGTCTACATCCCTAAGAGTTTTCTAGAATCCCCACCTGGTTATAACCTTTGTGCCAAACAATTACATCCTCATTTATGATGAATCTGTTTGCTTCAAGGGAACTGGCATCCTCCACCCTTCCAACTTTCACACGAAGGAAGGAATTGTTTGGGAACATGATCATATTAATTATGTCAAATCCACTACCCCATTCCCTTTTTTCATCAAAGAACACTGTTTTTCCAGCTGAGTTGTTAAAGGAAATTGTTTGAAGGAAAGGGTGAATCTGAGTAAAAGAGAAAAACATACAGACAAGAAATGAATGAACATTTTTGTGCTATGGTTTGCAAGTATAACATGCATAAAGAAACCAAGTATAAAATATAAATTGTTTATAGATTCCAAAAAGAAAGGTGGATTCTCTTTGCCAGATCTGACATTATATTATGAGGCACCCTGCCTTTGCTGGTTAAAGGAATGGATATTATTTTTTAAAAATACCGATGTTTTAGACCTTGAAGGTCATGTTGATAGATTCAGTTGGCACACATATTTGTGGTATGAGAAGGTCAAAGTTCACAAATGTTTTCTGAACCATGTAGTAAGGAAAGTGGTGGATGAAGTGTGGGAGAAATATAAATATTTATTACAACAATAAACACAATTGCAGCTCTCTCCACTTGAATCGATAACTTTGAAAAAAACAAAAATGAAAAACGACTGGGTAAATTATAAAGAACTGTTAATGGGAATAGCTCAAGAGTTGAAATTAAAGAGGTTTGAAAATATAAGAGGATTATTGTTTGGTTACAATTACAATACCATCAGCTCAATCATATATTTAAGTTGGACAAAAATAAATTTTCTTACATGAAACCTCTCAATTTGAAATGGCGCTGTTAGAAAATAAGATTAAATTACTTTCTAAAATGTATAAATTATTATTGGAATGGTATACCAAACATGAACAGGTCAAACCAATGATGATACACTGGGGAAGAGATTTTGGTTCTAACATCCACTGGTGGTATGGGAGAGGTTATGGAACCAGGATATACAGTATGCTGAATCAGGAAAGAAAATTAAATGAAAATGATGTATTTTCGGTATTTGACCACTAGCAAACTAGCCAAGATACATAAATCAAGATCATATGCTTGGTGTAGCAGCAGCAAGATGCGTACACGTACAGTCAATTAAAAGTTGGTTTTATTCCAGAAAAGGTATGCCACTTGTCCGGAGCTCTCTGCCCCCGTGACTTATGGCTACCCTGATGATGACTCAACTAAATCCTCAGCGTTGTTCCTCTTCCTCTGGAAGCAACGCGGGAAAATGAATCTCTTCCATTGCTTCTGTGATGTCCATTTCCCTTTTTTTTGTACCCCTCCTCTCCTGTGTTCTTGCATGCTGAGAGGTTTGGAAACTGGCTCGGACAATCTATGGTCTGATAAGTCCTGTGTTTCTCTGCGCTGTGATCTATCCCCTGTACTTTCCTCTGGTCTTCCCATAACAAACCTCCCTTCATCTCCTGGGCTGCAGGCCAAGTCTGGCAGCTGCTGTTGCTCACTTGCTGGCTCCAGCCTGGCACATGGTGGTAAAGTAAAAAGAAAGAGTGCATCTTTTATCATATATAGTGGATGTGTGAAGTAGTAATAGCATTCTGGGAGATGATATACAATGAGCTGGGTATTTCCTGGTTTGTGTATTTTGGGTAGAAGATAGAAAGTTCCTGGTCGAGGTTCTGTTGGTGTGTGGGTGAGGATCTGTTCCTGGATGTGTGGGGGTAGCTCCTTAACAATCTTGTTCAGTTACAGATAGGTAGCCGTGTTGGTCTGCCATAGTCAAAACAAAAAAATTCCTTCCAGTAGCACCTTAAAGACCAACTAAGTTAGTTCTTGGTATGAGCTTTCGTGTGCAAGCACACTTCTTCAGATATCTATGGCTACCTATCTGTAATTAGTAGCATTGATAGAGATAATAGCTGTAGGTAAAAGTTTTGATAAAATTGAAGTAATAGAGGAGAAAAATGTTGGCATGAGGATCAAAAAGGGGAGGAGTGAAGTCAAAGTGGATTTACTTATTATATTTTAATTCTTGTCTTTGTTCTTGTTTACAAACCTGAAAATGCGAAAACAAACTCATAAAAAAGGAAATGTGTTATTGCATTCCCAAAATTCAGAATGAATTTCAATAGCTCTTCACTAGCAAGCACGCCCCCATAAATAAGTCACCCTCTATTTTTGGGGACTCAAAATTAAGAAAATGGGGGGAGATATCTAGTCATACATAGAAAAGTCATAAAAAAGAAATGTGTTACTGCCTATACTGCCTATAGCTCTTCACCAGCAAGCAAAAGGTGATATATTCACAAAAATGCACCCTTCTCCAGGCTGACAAAAAGTTTTAACCAGCCTTTAATTATTAGAGATGGATGGGAGGAATGGAACTAAAACTACCATTCCTCTCTAATATTGTTTGGTTTCATTTAAGAAATACCAAATATGAACAAGGAGGCGTTTTGATATGGCAGATGGAAAGTTTATAATACAATCACAGGAAGCTACAATTCTTTCCTGTTTCAATGGACAGGAGGAAAGGAGAATCCACAAGCCATCATGGAAGAAGTGGTTACTGATGAATGGAAATCTGGATATAGTCTCACCTTGGATTAAGCCAACCAAACTGAAAGAATACAGTTCACATACATTACCTGCCAAGGCTGCAATTCCTGAAGTTCAAAGTTTTTTCCACTCCCCATTGCTCTATAGTTGGACCAAACAGAATACATGGTGTGTAGTGCATGGGCCACAACATAGACAGCATTATAGATACTGTAGCTGTGGGCAGTCATGAGCATTTCAAACTGAGGCTCAGGAAGGCTCTCCAGAGTCTCTTCCCCCGTGCAGGTTTCACTGCCTTCCATTGAGACATGGGATTCTGGAAGTTTACAATCAAATGCTTTCTCCCAGAAGTCCATGAGAAATCCATCTCTCAAGTTACAATAAGGTTTTCTACTCTGAAGAAATTCCTTGAAACCCAAAGGATCATTTGAATTAATTGTGAAGCAAATGGCACCTTCGAAAAGTTGAAGGTCCCAACCCCTTTGAAAGTCAAATAATATGAATTCAATCTCAGATGTCATAATCCACACTTTTATAATTGATCTAAGTCCATCATCTGCAGCTTCTCGCAAAAATATAACTGTTCTCAACCATGCGATTGCCAAAGATTCTCCATGGATTATGTATGTACTGACGGTATTATCTGTGAATACTGCATACAATCTCAAGCACTTCTCATACATTTCATCAAGGTTATCTAAATGTGGCTCTTGTGGGATTCTCTCTCGGAAAGCTGAACAAATTCCATTCTGGGTAAGCAATGTGTCCATATAATGCAGGAAATATTCTCCAGTGTTATCATCCTCTGCAAAGAGTCCAACCCACGTCCATCCAAAATGTTTAAGCAGTCTTATAATTCCTGTGTACTGAAGAGCTGAGTTGGGAACCATGCAGTAGAAGGATCGTGCATGACTTGTGAGACTTTCCTCTGGAGGAAAGGAGCCATAGGTGAGCTAGGAGAAATGAATTGATATTATAGAAGTGTTTCTGGAGGAGAGGGCACATGGCCAAGTCAGATTGGAGATGACAATTTAGAATCAAAGCTCCTCTGCAGCCACCTGCAAAATTGGCTTGGGTATAGACCCAAACCAGCAAGAAAATCTCTAACCCTGCAAAACATTGAGGGGAATGAATTACAATTCCAAAACATCTAAAAAGGATCTTACAAACTTTTTTTCAACTCCAAGAGCAAAGGCAAATTCAAACACAATCATGAGGAAAAGAAGCAGGAAAAATGGTGGAGAGATCAGAGGAACTAAAGCTGGTGACCGAACAGGAGTCAATGGCAGACATAATTTAGAAACCTATTAGCAAAACAACAAGAAAGACTTAAAGACACAATTAAGACTCTGCTGTTTCCTTTGGAAGCAACACATCTGGAATTTAACAGCAAGTTGGAAGTCTTAGTGCAGTCCACAAGAAATATAAAGCTACTAGATCAGGTTCAGGATGAAGAAACTGCCCTGCTTACAGGAGAAATGTTGAAATTAACAATAAAGTAATGGACTTGGGGTGCAGATCAAAAATATCTAACCTTCATATTTCATTTTTCAAAGAAGATGCAGAAAGAAGAGACCCAGCACAATTTATTTTTTCAGAGTTAACAACTTTGATCCTTGACCTAAAGTTGTGGTTCGAGGGCCCGACCCCCGCGAAGTGAAATGAAGACACAAGGACACGTGATATAAGGTTAATGGGCTAGAAAAGGCCACAACTTTATTGATTACAGCAATGAAAAGGTATTGGCTTATGCATTGGATCGAAACAAGTGGGTTTATTCACCAGGGGTTCATCACCTGTTGATGCTAATCCAACTATAGGCTCACCCCTGCTGTCACCGCGGGTCGTGCCATGGCCTCCCGCCAAGCAGGCATCGGACAGAATACACGACCGCCAGATTCCTTTAATGGAATACCCCTAAAAATTGAAGGCATAGGCGATGGCCACACCTAGCACTTCGACACACCACAACACATTATTCCAATGCCTAACCTACCCACCAATACCACAAAAGTTGTGACGATTGCTACGAGGTAGGCGAAAAAACCAAAAAGCCTATTGCCAAATGGAAAAACTCCTACCAGGCCCCCCGGGCAACCAGGGCGACCAACCTAAGGTCCATAGCAAGGCCAATGACCTAAGCCCTAACTAAAAGGGAGTGGAGGGTGGGTGACTCGTGACGGGACGACAATGAGGAATGAGGCCAGGGAAAGGCTGGCACCGCAGCAAAAGGCTGCTAAACACGCCCCCACTGCGGCACCTGGTTGGGTGGCCACCGGGGGGCGTGAGTGCCAGCCAGGTGAGCTGGAGGCAGGGGGCAACGCCCCCTGCTGGGCGGTGCTCGGGCTCCCGCCCACAACCACTCCCCTCTCTTTCAGGGAGGAGAGTCTTTGTCAACACTGAATTTAGAAAGAGCAAATATTCTCAGAATATTATAATATGCTTTGCTTGATATAAATAGGAACTATGTTTTTGCACCTTAAAATTACAGGAAGGGAAAATCAAATACAGCTGGGGGTCTCCCTTTAAGTTTATAGTTATGCTAGCATCAGCTTAGCTTACTGTTACAAACAGAGAAGCTAATCAAAGTGAGAATTACTGGTTTGTTGTTGATCTTAATTTTAATATGTATTTTGTGGTTTTTATATTGCAGTTTTATGTTTTGAACTGTCCTGTGATCGACACACAATGAAAGTATACAAATTTAATAAATAACAATTAATAATATATTCACTAGACCCAGAAATACTTGAACTGAAAACTCAGTTTTAGGCTATGCAGAACAGAAGAGTAACAGTCAAACTGGATTTATGGATCAAGATAGAGAGCGGGAAACAGTGGTGAAAAATAAACAATTCCGCAAAAATACCAACAAAATAAGTCCAAAGATTTACTACAGACATATCGCTTTGTCTGCAATTCTCAAAGCCCTGCTTTGTGATTAAGTACCTTGTATATTTACCTCTTGAATGCTGCTTCTCTTCAGTTAAAATAATTACCAGTCAACGCAACTGGTACTTGATTAGCTTTCCAAAAGATTCAGTTGTCCCTTTCTTTCCCCTTTTTCGTTTCTTTTCTTACTTTCCTCAGTTTTGATTCCCCACTTTCACTTTCTCCACATTCACGTCTTTATCTTTTAAACCCTCTATATTACTTTTCTTTGATTTCCTGTTCACAAGTCCCATTGCATTAGGTATCATATATTTTTCAGCAGCCCCTCCCCCCCCAATAATGTTTAAGAAGAGTCAAGAACATAACAGGTGTAAATGGAGGAGAGCTATATTATGTTATTTAGTTACATTATTTTAGCATCAACACTTCTACCTCTGTATTCTGTATACTTCAATAAATCTGTATACTGCCCCATACCTGCAACTCTCAGGACAGTTTGCAAAATAAAATCACAATATAAGAAGACAAAATACATAATCAAAATTAAAACATAATCAACCCAATAGCACACAAACCCACATACAAACATTGCCTTTGAAATCTCAACTCAAGCTTGCTTTTATTGTATCATACAAGGACAGTCCTATACTGCAGTTACAGTCAGTAAGTAGGATGACAATTTCTTGGCTGGTCTCTGTTTCACTACAACAAACTGAATTTTAAGAACATTGACCTAGAACTTTCACAGGGAGTGCAAGCCCTTCCAGGTTAAAACCCATCCCCTGGAACTTGGCAACAAGAAGAAGAAGAAGAAGAAGAAGAGTTTGGATTTGATATCCCGCCTTTCACTCCCCTTCAGGAGTCTCAAAGCGGATAACATTCTCCTTTCCCTTCCTCCCCCACAACAAACGCTCTGTGAGGTGAGTGGGGCTGAGAGACTTCAAAGAAGTGTGACTGGCCCAAGGTCACCCAGCAGCTGCATGGGGAGGAGCGGAGACGCGAACCCGGTTCCCCAGATTACATAACAATCCAACCAATGTCTATGATTAAGCTCTTTCACATCCCTCCCACCTTCTGAAAAGCAGAATTATTCCTAGAATGGTGAGAATAAAATTTGTGGGGGTGGGGAATCCCAAAGCCACACTCGTAACTCTTACCTGTGGAATCTTGTAGTGGCCTATGATCTCAGCCATTTGGAAAGAGGTATCAGAGCCAAATCCCCCAATGATGCTTATGAGATTTTTCTGGGAATCACATTTGTAGTTGGGGACAAATTTAGAGGATTTGAAAAGGAGTTTGAGAGTGCTAAGGTAGGACATCTTTGCATTGTAGTAGCTGTCGTAGATATGGAACCCGAGTGTGACATTTGGCAAGATCCTGGGATTCTCATTTATCTCTTTCACAGCAAATGCCAAGGCCAGGATGTGTTGATAGAACTTTGTCACCATACTGAAAGAAGAGTCCATTTATAATTTCAGAGGAGAATTCTGCCCTGCATTAAGTTGGAGTACCCCAATGTTGGTCATTTTAGTGTATGACTGATTTAGATGGGTGGAAATCTATTCACTATATGGTCAGATTTCTGAGCTGATTTAAACCTTCATATTACACTGAAACACCACAGTTATGTCTTATTTGAAATTTCTTTGTAAAAGCAGGCATGTTGGGCTTTGGGGGTATTGTTATTCTTTATCTTTATATACCACCCTTTATCAAATGGGGTATTCATCTGAGTGAGAGTGTCCTTCTATTCAGATCTAAGAAGTGAGCTGGTGTCCTGTAAGAGTATTTATAACAGGTGAGATTATGTACCAAAAACATCAATATTACGAGAAATTTCAATGCAGATGATGATTAATTTTTATTATGCCTTTTAGAAAGAAAAATCAAACTGAAGTGCATATATGGAGAACTCAGCTTAAGACTAGAAAAATGAGAAATTTAAGCAACATGAAATGAACAAATTTGCTCATCCCTATTTTGAACCCAATGTCCAATGTTTATTATTCTTAATGTTTGTCAGGATGGATACAACAAGGAGGCTTGGACTGCATTCATTTTTCCTCTAGATTACCAACACGTGAAATTTGCCAGCCATACAACAACATCGTAGGATTTCTATAAATGTTTCTTTTCAACTAGCCAAGCCAAGAAGATGCACAGAGAGAAAGGATCCTTACTATGGAATGTTAAAGATCTTCTGCGATGGCTTTTCTTTGAAGGAAACATCATCGAAAATGTAAATGATATGCGAAGCAATCCCACCAATAACTAGGTCACCAGTCTCATACCACTCATGCAGAACAGGGAGGGATTCAGGCATTGGGCCATTCGTATTATCAATTTTGCCCACTACGTGAGGCAACAAAAGCATCATCAGAAAGAACCACAGCATCATCCCATCCATCTCTAGGTGGAAAATCTCCTGTGTCCACCCATCAAAACTCCCAGACTTAATCAGGCTATGGTGAGGAATCCCTGCCTCTGGCAACGCAGCTATAAAAGATAAATTAGCAAGCAATGTTTTGCGAACTGAAGGATTACAAATATTTACCTTGATTACTCACTGGGAATGCCAAAAATCTGATTTAAAGTGTGGCCAGCAAGATGAATAAAACTGCTAGAAATCGAATTGACAGAAACATACCTGTTGTTTGAAACCTACTCCCCAGCTCTCCATGATACAGCTGTATATCAATATCTGCTTTAAGGCTTGCTTTTTTATTCATTTCTCCTGCCTTCTAGAAAGCCTTTGGAGCTTTCGCCAGGGGAACAAATTATAGTGGATTGGATAATTAAAGGGGGAGATGATTACGTCTTTGGAACTAGGACTGTTGACTGGGATTTCTGTTTCTGTGCTTGAAATCTGACCTGAACAATGTTCTTCTTCTACAGGGACAGAAATTGCGGCAACTTTGTTACAGCAGGGATATGGAAAATGTTGATCATGCTCATTACCTCTTTGTGGGTCTGCCACGGTCATCTGTTGGACACCTACAGAGCAGATTGCTGGATGAGATGGGCCTTTGCCTTGGTCCAGCAGGGTTCTCACCTGCCGCAACAATTAAAACACAACAGCAGTGACCACATGCTCCTGATATCTGAGTGGTGGAACTCCCTTGATAGTTCTTTCAGCTCCTCAAGACACGAGCCCAAGCACTGTGTAATGTAACCCATTGTTCACATTACACCAACAAGGATGGGTTTGCTGATCAGAGCAATACATAGGCAGAATGCTGCTCAAAGACATAGCAGGTGCTACGCATGCCTACACAAGCAAATACATTGATCCCACAATGAAACACACCCTGGACCCCCTTTCAAGGGAAATGGGCAGGAACAACTCAGCATGGCAAGGGAGTTGGCTCACTTCCAAGCCCACAGGATCACTTTCTGTGGTCATCTGTGGGCAACTCCTCTTCTCTGTCATAACTCATGAAACAGAAACAGCTTCCAACTTCCCCTTCCAATTCATTTTTTTTTAAAAAAAAAAAGTTTGGAGTAATAAGTGAGCTCTTTAAGTACAGAGCCACACCCACACCCCATGAGTGAGTGATTGGTGATTGATAGGTTTATTCTGTTTCAAAAATTCATTGTAGAAAAGGAAAACCAAAAGCACATTATACATAAATGAATCATTGGAAGGGGAAAACATAAGGAATAATGTATACAAGCAAAATCTTAGAAGTCGGGTCTTCCATCATGGAGGGCACGTGTTGTGGTGAGATCACCAGAAACTGCCTTCCTGTTTTGGGGCGTGACTATTTGGATGGCCACAACACCCCATTATTTGCCCCTCTGTTGCTGGGGCAGAAATTTGGTCATTTGGGTTGGCTATTGGCTGCTGAGGGGCTACTTAAGCAGCTGCACATCACTGGAGAGTTTCACTTCCTTGCGATGTGCAGCAGATCACCTGCTCTCCTCTCCCAATATTTAGGGTGGTTCTTGTGACCTTGCTATGCCTGTGTAGGGGTCATCTGTTTTGGAACAGGGGCCCGATAAGAATTTTGCCATTTGGCCGATTGACTGGTGCCACTTGGTTTTTGCCTACCATGTAGCAAATTGTCACAACTTTCTAAGGTTGGCAGTTAGGCATTTGGTTCCATGTTTTGGGCAGGGGACGTGGTTGGCTGTGCCTGACCCTCCATTGCTGCTGCTAGGGAATTCCGTTAAAGGAATCCAGGGACTTGCCTTGCTTTCATCCGAACCCTGTCAAGGGGCTAGGGCCACGCCAGAGCCCTTGGGAACATCTGGGGTGAGCTGTGAGATCGAAGGAGTTCTTGCTCCCCCAGGATGCTCTCCCTTACTGACATATGGCCATGCCCACTGTCAATCCTGTTCCTGCCACTGTGCAGGTTCAGGTAGTCTGGAACCAATGCATAAGCAACCACTCAAATGCTGTAATCAATAAAGTCACGGCCAAAATCTAATGCCAAAAACCTTAAACTAAAATCTGTGTCTATTGTGTCTTAATTTGGGGGTGGTTTTGGGAGTCTTCACACGCAATACAATTATTACAAGGTAAAATAAAGAAATAAAGTGGGGGGGTTATTTAAAAAACAACCAACCAAAAACAACCAACAACACTGTACTGTATTGATAAACCTTCAGGTAAACTATAAATTAAATACCTGGAGTGCAGTAAATAAGATTAACAATAACTACAAACACCACTACACCCTACATTGCCCACTTAAACCCTACCAGCCCTCTATTTAAAACATACTACATTATCATCCACCACTGTTACAAAATTTGGACAAGACCTGGAGACCACAGAAACCCCTTGTTTCCTTTTTTTCTCATTTTGCAATCCAGAGATCCCAAACAAGACAAATATTTGCCCTTCATTGAAAGAGGGAGCAGACATGATAGTTCAAATCAAAAATTTATTGCATTCCATAGTCCAGTATCCCTGGATGAATCAAAATAAGAGGAGACCTATGGGAAGTTCAAAATCATTTGGAGGAAGGCTATGCAGCTAATTTGGTGAAATACTCTGCCTGATTTGGGGGGGGGGGGGATCTGCACACTATTTCGTTCGAGAGCTGCATCAAAAAAATCAAATTTAAATTCAAAGAACTTCCAATTTTGAAATACTGGTGTGTTCTGTTGCATCTAATGTTTCAGGACTTGTGAGTTTTATATTAAAATGTTATAGAAGGCTTTTGCATCCTAAGTCTCTTACCCCCACTGATACAGCAATACACTAGCATATACAATTCTTCAATTCTTTTTCCGCATGAGATGCTCCTTACTATTCATCTGAGGCCTCAGCATTATTATGAAGCATTTAGGGGCAAAGATGCAGCCCAGTAAGCCAGCACTGGAGGACAGGATGGAGAAGATCTCCACCACTACCATATACTTCCCTTTGGTGCTCAGATAGGTTGGAACAAAGGACAACCAAACACTGCAAAAGAGCAACATGCTAAATGTAATGAACTTGGCTTCATTAAAAGTATCTGGTAATTTGCGGGCTAAGAATGCCACAATGAAGCTAGCAATAGCCAAGAGGCCCATGTAGCCCAGGACAGCGTAAAACATTGCAACGGAGCCTTCATTACATTGCACAATGATTTCATCTGCTACAGACTTCATGTCTAAATCAGGGAATGAGGGAGCAGTGGTCAGCCATACAGTACAAATACTTGCTTGGATAACAGTGCAGGAAAGGACAATGGAGTTGCTCAGTTTTTTCCCCACCCACTTCCTCATGTTGGACCCTGGTTTGGTAGCCATGAAAGCTACAACCACTGTGATGGTTTTGGCCAACACACAAGAAACAGCCATTGAGAAGACAATGCCAAAAGTTGGTTGTCGGAGGAGGCAGGTCACTGTGTTAGGTCTTCCAAGAAACAGCAACGTAGAGAGGAAGCAGAGCAGGAGGGAGATGAGCAGCATGTATGTGAGGTCCCGGTTGTTGGCTTTGACTATGGGCGTATTTCTGTGCCAAATAAAAGTTCCCAACACCCAGGCTGAGATCAGGGAAAAGGAAACAGCAATCATGGCTAAACTAATCCCTAAAAGCTCTTGGTAGGATAGAAAGGTTATTGTCTTAGGGATGCAGTTATTTCTGTCTTTGCTTGTATGCTCTTCCTTTGGGCATCTGAAACAGTCATCAATATCTGAAAGAAACATGGAAAGAGATAGAATTTAATGATCAAGTTGTTGTTAATTCCAAATGAGCTGATGGTCATATAACAATGCCGCTTAACATCTATTCAATTCTTCTTTTGCTTCTAGTTGCTTAGTTTATCTTGGGTAATTAGTCAGAATAAAGAAATTCCTTCCAATTCCTTTTTTTTATTTTGACTATGGCAGACCAACACCGCTACCTATCTGTAATTGGGTAATTAGATCATGCTCAGTGTGATGGAGGTCACCCCCTTATTAGGATGCATTTGACTGCAGCTTTATTGAAAGTCTTCTTCAGCAATCCTGAGAGGCAGAAACTTATTTACACACCATTCTTATTGAACACTTGTAAGTTGCCAATTTGACCCCATAAGGAATTAGCCCTGTATAATGTGGAAACTAATGTACCAAATCACTTACCAATCTGGTTTGAAACCTTCCCTTCTGGACATGGAATGCAATCATAGCAGCAAAATTGTTCTCTTTCTTTCCGTTTCTTCTGATAACCAGGCTGGCAGTGTTCATTACACACAGAAAGGGGAGGCACCTGCAGTTAAACAGGGAAGGATTGCACAGGGAGTTTTTATTTTATTTTTATGTTGTGCAAGTGCTTATCTTCAAATTAAACAACAACAAACAACAACAACCATGAGCAGTCAATCAACCCAGTGTCTTTTGCTTGGGATTATCCCTCATAATCAATGCAGCCATAGATCCATTCAGGTCATTGTTTTCAATATTGACCAACAACAATTCCTGTTTTCAAGGAATGGGTCCTATCACAGATGCAAAGCAGAAATATGCAATCAAATGGAATTATTCACATCCAAATTATGCATCCAGACAGGAAAGCAATCCCCTCCATCTCCATCCCTAGGAGTGTTCTAGATTCCCCACCTGGTTAAAACCTTTGTGCCAAACAATTACATCTTCATTTATGATGAATCTGTTTGCTTCAAGCGAACTGGAATCCTCCACCCTTCCAGCTTTCACTCGTAGGAAGGAATTGTTTGGGAATATGATTGTATTAATTATGTCAAATCCACTACCCCATTCCCTTTTTTCATTAAAGAACACTGTTTCTCCAGCTGAGTTGTTAAAGGAAATGCCTTGAAGGAATGGGTGAATCTGAGTAAAAGAGAAAAACATACAGACAAGGAATGAATGAACATTTTTGTATTATGGTGTGCAACTATAACATCCATACAGAAACCAAGTATAAAATATAAATTGTTTATAGATTCCAAAGAGAGAGGTGGATTCTCCATG